AAACCCACTAAATCTGCCAGAGTTGAGAGTAAAGAGAATACCAGGGGATATAGCTAGACAACCTGTCACAGCGCCTCCTTTGAATGGTGTTTTGATAACATATGACATGGAGCAGGAAATAAAAGCATATGCAGCTCTAGCATTCTACGACTTCAACCCAGTAATTCTTGATGTTAATATCGAAGTTGATATATTCGAGCTGAAGTCAGTTATGTTTCAAATGCTTCAGACCGTAGGACCATTTCATGGACATTCATCAAAAGATCCCCATCACCACCTACGGTGTTTCATGCAAGTGGCAAACTCATTTAAGTTGGAAGGAGTAATAAGGAAGCAAGACTAAAGTTACTCCCTTATTCCTGGAGGGATAGCGTGGGAGCATGGCTAGATTCACTACCAGCTGAGTCCATCACTTCATGTAATGATTTAGATGAGAAGTTCATGATTAAATACTTCCCTCCATCTAAGAACGGGGAACTTTGGAACAACATCAATAATTCCTAACAACTTCAAGGAGAATCATTGATGACTTTTAAATTAATGTTGGATTTCATATTTTCGAATTTGAATAATAATCCAACATTAAAGTTGGATAAATATCAAACTTTCAAATTCATCCCAAATTAAAATTTGAATTATATTCTAACTTTTAAATTGGGTTAGATAAATTTCATATTTTCGAATTTGATCCAAAAATTGAATTTGAATCATAATCCAACGTTCAATTTAAAGTTGGATAAATTCCAAAGTTTCAAATTCATCCTGATTCTAACTTTTACCCGATAACATATATATTTAACTCTCACCAATGTTCAAGGCTACTCAACAATACTACTATGAAAAATTTGAACATGATCTACTTACACTAATTAAAAAAAACCTTAAAATTGGGAGTGAGAGAAAATTTTAGAAAAAAGGAAGACCAAGAAAGATTGAATGACATATATGTATATTTACCTTTCACCAATGTTTCAGGCAACTGAATGTTCTAAAAATTTTGGAAGATGATCTAGATTAACAAACCTTAAAAATTAGATCGCGAGAGAGAAAAAAGAAAATAATAATAATAATAAGAAAAAAAGAAATAACCTCACATTGTGGTTGGAAATTTAGGAAGAATTGTTCACCCCATGTAAAATCTCAAATAAATGTGGGGTCTTCAGATGCATGCCCATGAAACTGTTCCAAAGTTTGAAGCATTTGGAACATCACATGTTTCAGCTCAAATCTATTTGCTTTGATGTCAGGCTCCACGATAACTGGATTAAAATCATAAAATTATGGAGTTGCGTACACTCTAATCTCTCTATCCCTATCATTACTAACAGAACAACATTTAGAGGAGGTGTTGGAACTGCTTTCTCAGCATCTTCCTCATTTACTTCTTCCACTACCACATCCCGTTGTTGCAGATTTGGATGTCAATTCATGTTTTCTTCTTCAGCTTGCTATCTTTTGTTCTCATGTCTTCTTTTGTGAAATGTCCTCTCAATCGTTATCAAGCAAATATTCTAGCTCTTGGAATTCGTTCATTCACCTATAACACAATCCAAAATGTGGTTGACGAAGCTTTTTATGCGTCGTATTCTTAAGCAAAAATTTCAAAGTAAGAAAAACAACAGTCCCCGACAACGGTACAAAAAACTTGTTACCTCCACACAACTCCGTGAAAATAAAGTGCAAATGTAGACCAAAAATCAATTGTAGCAATGAGACAATGTCATAATCCATAGGGATGGAGCTCAATACTTTGGATAATACTCAAGAACACTAATATTTACAAACTTTAATATTCAGGAATATTAACTAAAATTAATAGGAAATGAGCAACAAATAGTAAAATAAACTTGAAATATCTAAAGGACTAGAAATAAGAAATGTTGGACCCAGAAAGTGATCATAAAGGAAAACTTGTAACAATGGAAATCGAAACTGGGGAGATTTACTGCACTGTAGTTGCTGGTCTCGACGAATGCTCTAGCACCGATTTCCAATTGATGCTCAAACCAACATGGTTTCCTTCTGGAACACCCAAATAGTGACTTGTTCACAACTTTCTTTGCTAGACTCTATATGCAAGGTTAGGTGAACCTTATTCGTAAGCATTCACAATCTAACAAAAGAATGTAGACTAATCTAAAATAGAGCTAAACAAGCATCTCTTACATTTCACCAAATCATAAAAGAGCTAACAAACAGAAAATGATGGCCAACATAATCATACAGATGAAAGAATATACGCTACTACATTTAACATTAATGAAATCATACTACAACATCCATTGTTCACAGTTTGCAGCTTCAAATATCTCTCGAAAATGGGATTCAACTCATGCGTGTGGGGGAAAATAGAAAAGAAAAAGCATGAAACCACTCATTCTCATAAAAACGGCAGGAATAAGAAGTGAGACCTCCAGATTCTTCTGAAAACTAGTGGTCTTTTCATTTCCTCCATTAGATCTAGCCAAAAAAAGGTATATCTACTTTCTCGTTTTTTTTTGGTTTTTGGACAGTATTCTCCATTAGGATCTGTTGCGGTGGTTGAGTAACATGAGGGTTCTAAATCACTCCTAAAATGTGGGGCAACAAACATCAGCTATACAGACGTTGGTAACATTCGTGTAAAAATCAGTTACTGCACTACCCATAAATTCATGTGAAATAATACGCTCTAACATTGGGTGTCCTAGCATTGTTGCCGCTTCTTTATATGTGGTATTCCACAATTTTGGCAATTCAAGCCAAAATACAGCAAGAACTAAGCCAAAACATCTATAGTTATAACAAAATAAGGATTTAGATGTGACGTTATTATGACCAGGACCCTCAAATTTATGCTAAATTTAACTTAGAATTCTATCAAAATAACTCTCTTTTAAGGAGTTATCAGATGACGCCAATTGTTGATGTTGGTTTTTGGGTGAAGTCCATGTAGGTGCCAGATACATTTTCTTCACCAAAGTCCTGATGCTTACCCACAGAAATCTAATACTAGTATGATGCTCTACCAAATGCAATTCGATGCTTAAGTTAGATCTCAAATAGAGAGCAAATGGGTATGGTGTAGAAAGAATAAGAAAACAGTAACTTTTGATGGTGAAAGTCTGCTTTAGAGTGTGTGCTAAATCTTCCCAAGAAATTGTGTAGGAAAAATGCGGCTTACCTTTGTTAGGGTTGCTCTCTTTCTTATATATGGAGAACGAGTCGATAGAGAGGGAGGTTCCCCTTCTCCGAGACGCCCACTGGGAGTATTATGTCACACCAAGGATCCATGGAGACCACCAAGATCCTTTGCTTCACAATGCCCCGGGAATAGGGGCTACAACAGCGTCTTGATTGGTCCTTGAGGCGTATCGCGGTTTGTAAAGCAAAAATCAAATGCAAATGAAAGAATAATGAAGAAAAATGAAGAGTTTTCTAAAAAAAATAACGAAAAATGAAAAGAAAAATTTTTAAATCAACCGATGCATTATAAAAAACAGATTTTTTAAATAAAGATTTGAACTGAACCATCGGTAACCATTTAGAACCATATTTAACCATTTAAAATAGGATAATAGATATCTAAGTTCATATATATGATTGACCAACAATAAAAAAAGTAAATAAATAAAACTTCGATCGCAAAAATATGACACCAACGTTGTTTTCATCATCGTTGACGGAAGTCTCAAATTTCCACAACTCTCATTCTTATTACTTCTATCATTATCATTATGAATCACTTGCACCACCAGTTTCTGCAAAGCCACACAATTCTCTCTCTTTAAGGAAAGAGTTACAGTGTCTCGAAAAGTACTTAGTTTTATTTTCTTTTATAAATAGTTTCTAATCACACCTATACACAGATGGATGCATCACTTTGTCAAACAGTTGCAACTCTTTTAGATTAACTTATCTCAACCGATACCCTTGATCCGAACAGTCGCGTTCTGTAGAACTTTGAAAGGTAAAATGAATATATATTAAAAAGTTGAGGAGAAAAATGGAAGGTAAAGATTGTCCTCCATAGCTTTTATGTATAGTATATATTATCCATCATTTTTAAATAATACTCGAGTTACTCTCTCTTCGACCCATCTCTCTTTCAAGTTGGTATCTCTCTCAACTCCTAAGCCTCTCTCCTACTCATCTATCCCTCGTTTAACTCTATTTTTGTATTTCTACCACTCATCCAAATTCTCACCTTCTCCCACTCACTCATCAAAATGCTTCTAATAGGGATGAAGGGATTAAAACTTATGACCTATTGATTAGATATAAGTGCTAATTACGGCTATCTAAAATCATGTTTGCTCAAAATTCCTCTCTCACATACTAACTTTTGATAAAATAGTGATGGCAAAATTATATATAAAAGAATCACTAAGTAACAACCACATTTAAAATATTAATGGCCACTAAAAATTAAAATAGACTTTTTAAATTCATAAAAAAAACCTTTCATTTTTTTCAAAAAGAAAATTTAAAGATACATATTTCATGGAATATTTATTTTCTTGTAAATATAAATGATCATTTCATACCTATTTATTTTTTTTAAAAAACCAAGATTACTTTATCACATGCATGTGTCAAAACTAGGATACTATAAAAGACGTAAATTTTTAAAAAACCAAGATTACTTTATCACATGCATGTGTCAAAACTAGGATACTATAAAAGACGTAAAAATTGACACTTCGTTAATAAATCGTCACTCCAAGCATCGTCATTTCTTCATCTCAACAGGTCCATTTAAAATTATTTTCAATTTTTGAGATTAAAATGTCATTTCTAAAATTTAGACCAAATAAAAATCAAACCGAAAGGCAAGAACAAAAATATAATTTATCAGTCCCTTAAAATTTTTTTTTTAAGTACAGTAATAATAATAATTTGTCATTTTTTTTGGTAAGAAACAAAGGAAGCATGTTTTCAAAAAAAAAAAAAAAAGTCAGTTCTGGTAAAGATAACGTTTCGCGTTTTGCAGCTTGTTCCGTTGAATGACTGACGTTAGCCAGTTGAATCAGAATGATAATATTTTCGTTTTTCTAAAACCCTAAAACCCATCCTTCTCTGGACGTCTTCCATTCCGGGGGGACTCGAAACTGTAAGAGCTCTCCGATTATGGCAACTTTTCAACTCACAAATCCGAAGGGTTTATTATCAACTTCTTCAATTCGCCCTCAGTTTTATCATAAGGGGTCCTTCTTTCCCTCCAACTTGCCGTCGTTATCGTCTTCTCCTAATGCCCAGCGGAAATGCCCATCTAGAAGACACCAAGTTGGCGTTGTGAGTTGCTCATTTTCACCTATGGAGTCGGCCAAGATTAAAGTAGTAGGGGTTGGTGGAGGCGGCAACAATGCCGTTAATCGCATGATTGGCAGCGGCTTGAAGGTTGCTTTCCTCTTCGCATTCTATAAATTTCACTTGAAGTTCAACATTTTCAAATTTGAGTGCAAACACGAGTGGAAGTTCGTGTAAATTTGTGCATTCCTTATCTGAAGCCCATTATTGATTTTAGTTCATTGTAATCTGCAAGATTAGAGGTTCACCCATTTTTTATTTGGCAGTAGATCTTCGGCATGTACATATGGAGCTAGTAGTTTCTTACGTCTTCTTGCAATGGATAATCTTCTTCCTTAGCGTCTATGTAAAATTAAATTATTGATTGGATCTATTGATCAACTTTATTAGTTTCTGGAACTCGGAATGCTTTGATGACTGGGTTTGTAATAAACGTTGATATCATGCAATGACGTTGAAATTTATTTGTTTTTTTCCCTCGTGTAGTGTGTGCTTGAATTAATATTTGTTGCTAGGGTATAAACGGAGACTGATTCCTGCGGTTATTGAGTTTTGTGTCAGGGTGTTGATTTCTATGCTATAAACACGGATTCTCAAGCTTTACTACAGTCTGCCGCTGAGAATCCACTTCAAATTGGAGAGCTTCTGACACGTGGTCTAGGTCAGGAACTTTGATTTTTCTTTTGGTTCTTTTGGCCTCTGGGGGATGTGTTATGAAGTTCATGTGACTAAGTATCCTCGTGACTTGAGTAGTTGATGCATATTAGTGAATGTCTTTGACTTTCGTTGATTTGTTTCCTGATAGAGATGCAGGTACTGGTGGAAATCCCAATTTAGGGGAACAAGCGGCAGAAGAATCAAAAGAAGCGATAGCTACTGCTCTCAAGGGCTCTGATCTTGTTTTTATAACAGCAGGTATGGGTGGAGGCACTGGGTCAGGTGCAGCCCCAGTTGTCGCCCAAATTTCAAAAGAGGCAGGTTACCTCACTGTTGGTGTGGTTACTTTTCCATTCAGTTTTGAAGGAAGAAAACGATCCTTGCAGGTAGGTTATTTCCTTTTCTAAAGCGGACAATGATTGCTTTTAATTGACAGTTTCCTTTTAGACTAAATGGACTCAACATCTTCCCCCTCTCTCTTGGACTTAGATCATCTTAAGGATGTATGAAATTTTAACATTTTTTTTTTGTGGTGTGCATCTGAGAAGTATGTGGTGTTTCTTATCCAAAAAAAGAGAAGTATGTGGTGTTTCCTTTTGTTACCTTAAGTAAAATGCAAATAGTGTAAATAAGGCGTAGTCTTCGGTTTTATGCTTCAATGGACACCTTTCTTTTGGGTTTCGGGGTGGTAAGAAACACCATAGATTTATATTGTTGGACGCTGTTTATTAGTAATATCCAATAAGTCAATGGTATTTGTTTTGGCTTTTGGGGGCTTGGTTGGTTGCAAGGTATGGAATAAGCTGGCTACTGTTTTTACATGATGCTTTCATGTAAACAACTGTTGTATTTGAAATCTCACTCCCTTTTGGAGGACATGGAGGACAGACCTATTTTCATTCAGTGATATGAAAAAATTTGACTTCATTTTGTTCTTATATTTTAATGTTTACTTCTTTTCAGGCACTGGAGGCCATTGAAAAACTACAGAAAAATGTTGACACTCTTATTGTAATCCCCAATGATCGGCTGCTTGATATTGCTGATGAACAAACACCCCTTCAAGATGCTTTCCTTCTTGCTGATGATGTCCTACGTCAAGGAGTGCAAGGAATTTCTGATATAATTACGGTGAGAATTTTATTTTATTTTTGAAGCAGGGTGAGAAGTATTTTTGATATAAATATATTCTTTTCGTATTTTGTATGTAGATGAATGGATGAATTCTGGCTGGTTCTTAGTTTTAAAAATAATAAAAATAGAGAAACTGCTCTATAATAGACATCCCAATTATTTATACGTACTCTAGGAGGGGCAACGAAGGGATTTCACTCTCAGTTAGTTAGGAAGATGATAGAGTCCAGTACTCTATTATTTATATGACAGAAGGGAATTATAGGTTGAGGGAGATTTCGAGAGCTCCCAATCCTCTCCTATACTACTCACAAGCATTAGCCTAAAAGATACCCCACCCCTCTATGATAGCTGACTATATAACCAACCCTACTATTACTCACTCAATGTCAAAAATGCCCTCTAACTAACTCGGGCGCACACTAACATTCTCTTTCCCTCTATTACCCTTCTTCCTCGCATATGTCCTGATGATCGGGGGTCTATCATTACCCGCCTGCCACGAAGACACCTTGTCCTCAAGGTGAAAATCTGGAAACTGAGTCTGAATAGTTTCTGATGGTTCCCAAGTGGCATCCTCCATGGTTCCCCCTTCCCAGCGAACGAGGACCTCCAAACCAGCAGTCGGGTTGACATTTGTCCGAACTCCAAGTATCTCCATTGGCGTAACTGCTACCACACCATCTTCCCCAAATGCTTTGGAAAAGGAATCACGGGGAACGTATGACTAACAACCCTTCGCAACTGAGAAACATGGAATACGGGGNAGGGAGAAGAAGAAGAAGAAAAGAGAAAAGAAGGAATGGGCTAGGGTTTTGTTTTTGTTTTCTTTCTTTTTCCCTTTGTTTTAAAAACAAAATAACCCAAAGGAGGCCCAATAAGTCCAAGCCCAAAGATAAGAAATCTACCCCCCTCCTAAACAAGACCCACCACATGGGATCCGGTAAATATTAATTTAATTGGATTTTAGAGCCCGATAAATATAAATAAATTCAATTAACATTCACTTTGAAAATTAAAAGAAAAATCTCCCGATTCGAGACTAACTAACCTGAGGGACTCGGGGCGTTACAAGCAGAGAGGTGGTGTTTTATAAAATTGCTTGATAATTGCAACCCTAAACAACACCATTTTTCACCATTTTTCTTCATAAACCACAATTGCATTTTTTAGTCATTTCGCTTCATTACTTGATTTTGAAAGTACAAGTCACTGAGGATTCAACCTTGGATTACTCCCAAGTATTATTTGTTACCATGTACGCTTGCACATGTCTCTTATCTTTTAAAGGTAGAGAAAGTCCCAACAGTCCTTGAGGCATATCGTAGTTTGGGTACAAGGTGTCGGTGTCCTGTGTGCTTGCTATCCTTTATATGGGTATTCAAGAGTGCTCGATTCCATTGCTTGTGCACTCAATTCTCCCTATATGGACTCAAATACTCCGGCTTCTTTGTTTGACTAGGTCCACGTGCTTGATGGGTGCAAGTACCTCGACTGTAGAACCATACATTTTAGGCCAATCATAAATGACCATGTCATTATTGGCAAAACTATATTTGTTAAATTTGGGGTCAATTATAAATTATCCCTAAATTAAAATTAAAGATAAAACAATGGCAACTTCCAAATAATGTCAAGTGTCTTTCATTGGGCCATTTGGATTGGATTTAATAGGTCGAATCGAGTCATACAAAATTGGGCCCATAATTAAGTTAGGCCACAAATCCATGGGATGATAATTTGGACGAAAACCCAAATCACCATAAGGGCATTGATAACTCTCCATAAGAGAGTATTTTGTGGAATAAATTGGACAAATTTTGGTATGAAAACGTAAGGTCCTTGGTGAATTACAAGAAAAGAGAAGTATTTAGTAAAGCAGATACCTAAGTTGTTCAGAATCATTAATATCCTTGATTGGATTGAAGTTGAGCTGATTATTTGATTAGTTGGGTGAATTTTGCATTAGGATGCTAAGCTGGAGCTATGAAGGCTATTGTAGAAATTGCTAGAGTCAGGGAAAAATTTATGTGTTGTAGCCTGTTGAAGCTTGTTAGATGCTCTCGCTCCTGTGACTGCGCAGTAACTTTTTACCCCAGTTTTTTTTAACCGAATCTGTACAGCTTCCAAGTGATGCCCTAAAAATCAGGATCTGGTATATAAGGAAAATAGTGCCTGACCACAAAAATGGAGATAGAATTGAAGAATCAGTTTTGGGACCGAAAATAAAGACATTCCTTACTCATTTCAAGGAAGAAACTGACGAATGAGGAGCTAAACCTTGCTTCATCACTGAGCTAGGGGACTTTATACCATTGCTGAAGCTTCTTTATTTGATGGGCCTTTTTTCTCTTCTACCTACTGTTTTATACTTTTTAGCATGAACTAAACCCCACCTTCAGGGAGAATGAACTCGTTGTAGCTCTTGAATAACTATGTTTTAGCGTTTGACCCAAAAATTGAACGAACTTTTAGAAGAAGACAGGTTGAGTTAAAAATCCAGCGTAAAGAAAAAGCTGAAATGGATAATCCACCAAACCCACTAAATCTGCCAGAGTTGAGAGTAAAGAGAATACCAGGGGATATAGCTAGACAACCTGTCACAGCGCCTCCTTTGAATGGTGTTTTGATAACATATGACATGGAGCAGGAAATAAAAGCATATGCAGCTCTAGCATTCTACGACTTCAACCCAGTAATTCTTGATGTTAATATCGAAGTTGATATATTCGAGCTGAAGTCAGTTATGTTTCAAATGCTTCAGACCGTAGGACCATTTCATGGACATTCATCAAAAGATCCCCATCACCACCTACGGTGTTTCATGCAAGTGGCAAACTCATTTAAGTTGGAAGGAGTAATAAGGAAGCAAGACTAAAGTTACTCCCTTATTCCTGGAGGGATAGCGTGGGAGCATGGCTAGATTCACTACCAGCTGAGTCCATCACTTCATGTAATGATTTAGATGAGAAGTTCATGATTAAATACTTCCCTCCATCTAAGAACGGGGAACTTTGGAACAACATCAATAATTCCTAACAACTTCAAGGAGAATCATTGATGACTTTTAAATTAATGTTGGATTTCATATTTTCGAATTTGAATAATAATCCAACATTAAAGTTGGATAAATATCAAACTTTCAAATTCATCCCAAATTAAAATTTGAATTATATTCTAACTTTTAAATTGGGTTAGATAAATTTCATATTTTCGAATTTGATCCAAAAATTGAATTTGAATCATAATCCAACGTTCAATTTAAAGTTGGATAAATTCCAAAGTTTCAAATTCATCCTGATTCTAACTTTTACCCGATAACATATATATTTAACTCTCACCAATGTTCAAGGCTACTCAACAATACTACTATGAAAAATTTGAACATGATCTACTTACACTAATTAAAAAAAACCTTAAAATTGGGAGTGAGAGAAAATTTTAGAAAAAAGGAAGACCAAGAAAGATTGAATGACATATATGTATATTTACCTTTCACCAATGTTTCAGGCAACTGAATGTTCTAAAAATTTTGGAAGATGATCTAGATTAACAAACCTTAAAAATTAGATCGCGAGAGAGAAAAAAGAAAATAATAATAATAATAAGAAAAAAAGAAATAACCTCACATTGTGGTTGGAAATTTAGGAAGAATTGTTCACCCCATGTAAAATCTCAAATAAATGTGGGGTCTTCAGATGCATGCCCATGAAACTGTTCCAAAGTTTGAAGCATTTGGAACATCACATGTTTCAGCTCAAATCTATTTGCTTTGATGTCAGGCTCCACGATAACTGGATTAAAATCATAAAATTATGGAGTTGCGTACACTCTAATCTCTCTATCCCTATCATTACTAACAGAACAACATTTAGAGGAGGTGTTGGAACTGCTTTCTCAGCATCTTCCTCATTTACTTCTTCCACTACCACATCCCGTTGTTGCAGATTTGGATGTCAATTCATGTTTTCTTCTTCAGCTTGCTATCTTTTGTTCTCATGTCTTCTTTTGTGAAATGTCCTCTCAATCGTTATCAAGCAAATATTCTAGCTCTTGGAATTCGTTCATTCACCTATAACACAATCCAAAATGTGGTTGACGAAGCTTTTTATGCGTCGTATTCTTAAGCAAAAATTTCAAAGTAAGAAAAACAACAGTCCCCGACAACGGTACAAAAAACTTGTTACCTCCACACAACTCCGTGAAAATAAAGTGCAAATGTAGACCAAAAATCAATTGTAGCAATGAGACAATGTCATAATCCATAGGGATGGAGCTCAATACTTTGGATAATACTCAAGAACACTAATATTTACAAACTTTAATATTCAGGAATATTAACTAAAATTAATAGGAAATGAGCAACAAATAGTAAAATAAACTTGAAATATCTAAAGGACTAGAAATAAGAAATGTTGGACCCAGAAAGTGATCATAAAGGAAAACTTGTAACAATGGAAATCGAAACTGGGGAGATTTACTGCACTGTAGTTGCTGGTCTCGACGAATGCTCTAGCACCGATTTCCAATTGATGCTCAAACCAACATGGTTTCCTTCTGGAACACCCAAATAGTGACTTGTTCACAACTTTCTTTGCTAGACTCTATATGCAAGGTTAGGTGAACCTTATTCGTAAGCATTCACAATCTAACAAAAGAATGTAGACTAATCTAAAATAGAGCTAAACAAGCATCTCTTACATTTCACCAAATCATAAAAGAGCTAACAAACAGAAAATGATGGCCAACATAATCATACAGATGAAAGAATATACGCTACTACATTTAACATTAATGAAATCATACTACAACATCCATTGTTCACAGTTTGCAGCTTCAAATATCTCTCGAAAATGGGATTCAACTCATGCGTGTGGGGGAAAATAGAAAAGAAAAAGCATGAAACCACTCATTCTCATAAAAACGGCAGGAATAAGAAGTGAGACCTCCAGATTCTTCTGAAAACTAGTGGTCTTTTCATTTCCTCCATTAGATCT